TTGGTTAGCATTGACAGCTCTAAAAGGCTCGCCATCTCTGGTCTGAACCGTGCTGTGCTCTGGCCCAGTGCCCAGTGGGAGCTGTGGGCGAGGGAGCCCCTAGAGCAAGAGCTCCCCCACCCCTCTCTCTGTGGTTCTTCTGGTTTTGGAGCTGTGACCCATGGAGCTGAGGGGTATGTGGCAGGTGGGGGACACTCTGCCTGGATCCCTCTTCAGGGTGCAGGTGACCACACCCATAGCTTCACCAGGCAGGGGTAGCCCATGTCCAGCGGCCTAGGTCCCTGGTCTCCGCAGAGCAGGGCGCCTGTCCCTGTGGAACTGTGGAACTGCTGGGACTTGGGTCTACCGACGGGGGTGGGGGCAGGATGCCACCCAGTTGCCTGCCTGGGCCCGCGGGTGTAGCACCGACCCGGAGCCTCTCTTCCAGGAGGGGCTGGTTTCCTTTCTCCTACACCCGGGTCCTGGACAGTGACGGCAGTGACAGGTTACACATGAGGTGAGTGTGCCAGCTGAGCCAGATGGCTCCCTGGCTGCTCCTCCACCTCCAGGGCTGCCCAGCTCAGGCCGCACTGCACAGCTGAGGCCAGCACGGGGGGGGGGGGGGGCTGTGGCATCCAGAGGAGCTGTGGGAGTCAGTACTGTGTGGGCTGGCTGTTGGGCACCCTGTTGCGGCCGGGCACACTCCTGCTGCCCGTCTCCTGGGGTGGGGTGTACGAGGACACAGCCCTCTCGAGGGTCCCAGGTCATCCTGGCCCTTGGGGACTCAGCTGGACCTCGTGGGAGTGAGCAGCAACCAGAGGGCTGGGGAGTCACCATGCCAGCTTTCTCTGGTCCCAGGTGACCGGCCCAGAAGGAGGCAGGGAGGCCAGAAGGGGAAGGCCTGTGAAGGTCGGTAGGGCTGGGTACGCTGTCTGGCCAGCCCCTGAGCCCCACATCCACACAGCCTGCAGCAGGGCAAGAGCAGCAGCACAGGCAACCTCTTGGACAAGGACGACCTGGCCATCCCACCCCCCGACTACAGCACATCCTCCCGGGCCTTCCCCAGCCAGACAGCCGGCACCTTCAAGCAGAGGCCCTACAGTGTGGCCGTGCCCGCCTTCTCCCAGGTGAGTGCTGGGCCCTTGGCTGGGCCCTGAGTGGAGTGTGGGTGTCTTGCCTGACAGGCCTGGGTGAAGGCTGTGGTTCGGGACTTGGGCCACACGAACACCCGTGGGTCAGTGCTGAGTCCGTGTCTCACAGTGGCCCCATACCAGCCTTGGTCTGCTTGCCACCCCGGGTGTAATGTCAGGGCTGGGGCACAGCTGGCCTCGAGGTTGTCCTTGGATGCCTGCCACTGCTTGTGAAGAGCCTGGGGCCAGGGGATTGGTTTCTAGGAGCTCCTTCCCTCAGAACCATGCGCCTCCATCACGGGAGCTCCTGCTGCCCAGCACCCTCTGGTCAGCATGATCCTGGGCCCTGGTCATCTCGCCCTGCAGGCCAGAGGCGGCTGATAGAGGGCTGATCCCCAGCCCTGGGACAGGTCCCGGTGCCCCTGTGTGAGAGCTGGCCTCAGTGTGCAGGCCAGATGGGGTTTGAGCTTTGGAACAGAGCTCGTGGAGCCCCACTTGGCTCTGCCCAGACAGACTGTGGATGGGGTGAGCCCCCTGTCATCCTGGGGCTCTTCTGCAGGTGTTCTGGTTGAAGGACATTAGTCTGCTGTGGCTTCCAGGTCAGGGGTAGGAAGACAGTTCTGTGGCTGCATTGCTTGGGCTGGGCTAGGGTTGGAGAAAGAGAGCCGTCCATTCCCAGGTCTTGGGCATTCTGGGGGACCATCACTGTCCTGACACCTGAGGGACCCCATTGACAGGGGACTTGGGGCTGTGCAGGAAGTCCTGCTGGAGGTGTGAGGTGCTCTTCAGGCCGTGCCCCTGTGTACCTGTGAGGAGGGCTTGGCAGGCAGAATGCAGGAAGGGAGGCTGGTGTGGTGAGGGTCCAGACCGTGGTGGTGCGGCCGCCCACTGGCCAGAGCCGTCCAGAGCGCAGAGCACATGGTGGCGGCAGAAGGAGCCCATCCCGCCTGAGTGGAGACCCAGGGGCTTGGGCCAGTCCCTGGGCTGGGAGACGCCTCTCACCCACAGTGCTGAGGGTTCAGGCCTAGGAGAGCCAGGAAACTGTGAACCCGAACCCCTCGGTGTCCTGGGGCCAGCCGTTTCCAGGAAGCTACAGCAACGGGGGAGGACATGGGCCCTGGGCCAGCCAGGGTTAGGTGAGGCGGGCCTGCAGGGGGCCGGCTGCAGCCTCCATGCCCACTGCCCCACCCCACCCCCAGCCTATGTAAGGTCCTGGCTGGAGCCAGATGTCTTCTGCCTGCCCAGACCTTCCTCCTTTTCCCTCCCGTGTGAGCAGTAAGTGTCTCTCCAGCTTAGTTCTTGGGGAGGCCTGCGGCACGGCGGGTGTGTCCCACAGGGCTGATGAGGTAACCTGGTCAGCCACTGGCCAGGTGCAGGTGGCCCAGTTAGCTTGGGAGGTCACCAGGGGTGTCACCACTGTGCCCAGAGAAGGGGTGGAGAGAATGGGGAAGCGGCCTTCCTGGGGAGCCCTGTCTGAACCCCAGCGTCTGGGTCATCCCTGTGGACGGTGCCGGAGCGCAGGGTCGGGGACTCAGCCTCAGCCCCGTGGGCCCAGCCTGACTGCTGTGCCTTCGCTCCCTAGGGGCTGGAGGACTACGGAGCACGGTCTGTGAGCAGGTAAGGGGCTTTGGACTCCTCTTTGGGGCTGGGGCTGGGGCTGGGGTACCAGGGGCCTGGTGGGGTGGCCCTCTCTTGGGATCTGGAAGCCCACTGGTGGTTCTTGGGGGCATCCCGGCTATCCCTGAGCGTGCTGCCCTCCTGGGCCCTCATCCTCTTCCCTGATGTCCAGGCCACTCTGTCCACCCTCGGGGGAAAGGACAGGGTTGGGCAAGGTTGCGCCTCTGGGTCTGGCTGCCTAGAACCAGGTAGGACCTCTCCTGCCTCTGCCCCGGCCTGGGCATGAGCTGCGCTGGCTTCTCCATCCCCCTGCCCGCCCGAGGACAGGTGGCCTGCTGCTGGCCCAAAGGGCGCCTGGGCAGCTGTCCTGTGCTTTGTTTCACAGCGGCAGTGGCACACTGGTGTCCACAGTGTGAGGACGCTGACCGCGGCGGCTGCTCTGAAGAGCCCCTCCCTGTTTCCCTTCTCCGCTCTCGTTGGTTCGTTCTTGGGTTGTTTTCTTCCCTACCTGCCCCCGCCTTTTGGTTGGTGACCCCAGACTCTGTGATCCCCCAGGGTCCATGGTGCTGCTCCCTGCGCCCCCTGTGCTCTCCCTCTGCCCCCCGTGTGTCCCCAGCCTCAAGCAGAAAGTGCCGGGCGGGGCCTGCTGGGCGCTGCCCCAGCCCGCGATGCTCGTGACGCAAACCCTTTTCTAAGGCTCACCTCGAGCCAGGTCTAGAGTTTGAAGAAAAAGAAAAATCTTAAAAAAAGAAAAAAAGATGAAAAACGGGAAAAAGGACTTTTTTTTTCCCTGAAAAACAAAAATAGATATGCATGGACTCTGGTGTACGTACTGTTATTCTGCATCTGACCCTGGCGCCCTGGCATCTCCTAGGACAGGGGAGGAAGCGGCTCAGGCCCCTCGCAAGGGCCACATGGAGAAAGGGGGCTCATGACAAGGCGGGGGGCCTCCTGAGGACACTGGCCACTCCTGTGAGGGAGGCTGCAGCCCCCGTCCGGCCCACCCGGCCAGGCCCCAGGCCTCTTTCCTCGGTGACACTGCTGGACAGGTGTACATAAGGCTGAGCGTGGTGTCTCCGCAGCAGGAGCAGTTACCTTATGCAGTGCGCTGGCAGGAGGGGGTCGGGAGCAGCGCTGCCCGGCCACATGCGGACATTCCAAAGACCTCCAGAGACCACCCCATCCCGTTTTTTGGAAATCAGTTCTTTAACCAGCCTTGCGAGGGAGTTGTGACCGTCTGTGGCTGCCGGGCCACAGGGGCAGGGTGCGCCAGCCTGGTCAGGCTGGCCCTGTGCCTCCCACCAGGGGACAGGCAGTCCTGGCCTGGGTCCTCCTAAATGCTCGTCTTTTTGTGTGTCTTGGTGACTTTAGAAACAAGCACACTGGACTCAGTGGCTACTGGTTTTGTCTCTTCATACACTGAATTCTGGGCAGCCAGGCTGAGGTGCAGCCAGGTTAGCCCTGTGGCTGGCGGAGCCCCTTGCGAAGCCGTGGACGCGCCTCTTTCTGATGTGGTTAGCGAACTCCCGCAGGCCTGCCTGCCGAGGACTGGGATGTGGCTGGTGGTGTTGTGAGCAGTGGCTCAGGCACAGACTGACCCTGTTTTATATTTAAGGAAAACATAGCCAGAGCCTGGACCTGTGTAAAGAACCTTCTGTGCTGTTCTAACTTTGCTAAAAGATTTCAAATCCAGGGGATTCCATGCACAATGGATGAATGTAGACATAAAACAGCAAAACTTGTATGAAGATGTAAAGTACTGAAAATATTTTTTTCCTTTCCTTTTTTTTTTTTTTTTTTAACCCGAATTGTGCCCTGTACTGCAGTTAACTGTTTGAATAAAAGTTTTATTTATTGCATCCAGCTGGGTTGGGAGCCTCCTTCCAGGCCCCGGCACAGGTCCGGGCTGTGTGAACAGGCCATGCCTCCGTGCTCCCCCACCTATGGCCCATGGTCAGTTTCTGCAGAGCACCTGGGTAACAGGCTGGAATGAGCTGGCCTTGCGAGCAGTGTGGGCCTAGCTAGGCCTTCACCTTGCTTGCTGATGGGACCTGGGGTGGCCCATGCCCCAGTAAGAGAGGAGGGCCTCTCGGGGCCTGATGCAGATCCAGAGGGAGCAGGGACACCCTGTTCTGGGTGCCCTGTTGGCAGCCTGCGCTGACCCTGTTGACCCATCCTCCCTGCGGAGTCCTCAGACCCCCTCCCCCCAGCCCTTGGCTCCACCAACCAGCCTTGTGTTTCCTTGCAGTGCCAATGTGGAAGTGGCCAGATTTTGAGCCGCCCTGACTAGTTAGTAAGTTGCCCTGGTTTTCTTGTGCCCGCCTGCTTCTGCAGTGGCTCTGGGCCTTCTTGCCTCCGGTGCTTCCTTCCTTGGGCTTGTGGGTCTCCTTCCTTCAGCCTGGAGGTGTGGCTCTGCCTGTCTGCCCCATCACTGCCCTTGCTGCTGGGTGTGGGGCTGGCCTGGCCTCTGCTTATCTTCTTCTGTCCCTGCTGCTCCGGCTACCATCCAAGGGTGACCCTGGCAGGCAGCGGGGGCCAGGCCGCTCCCCTGACCCCGTAGCACCGGTGTGAGTGGTCCTCTGGGTGTGGTGGTCTGAGCCCAGCCTGGTGGGTATCGTAGCTGGGGGGAGAGGGCTGGGCTCAGGGTTAGGGTCCCAGGGGTGGTGGATCGGGCCCTGTTACCTTCTGATCTTTCCTTTTCTGAGTCCCTTCACGCCTCCCATGGTCCCAAGACACCATCTCAGCTGCCCAGGACCGCCCTTCTACTCCCCCACATAGGGCCCTCCCTGACACTTCCTATCTCAAGGGCAGCCTGGGAAGTCAGGACCTGCTTCCCTGACAGAGGACCGTGGTCACCATGTCCGTGCAGGCAGTTCAGCTACTCAAGCAGATCCTGGACCCTTGCTTCTCTGTGCCTGCCTTCATGTGGGAGCTGTAGCATGAATGGCAGGAAGTTCTGTGGGAAAATGCTCCTGAAGTTGGAGGATGGAATATAAATGCCCTTGGCTGACCCTGGGCAGGCCAGCTTGTGGACCTCCAGCTATCTGCACACAAAGTGCTTGTTGAGAGCGGGCGTCCCAGCCTCTCCTCAGAGTCCCCATGTGCTGAACCTGGGTCCCTCTGAGCTGGCTGGGGCCATGCTGTCCTCAGCTGGAGGCCAGGAGGAGTGAAGGTTCTAGAAGGCCTCTGTTGGGCTAGACAGACACGGGATGGGGTAGTCAGGTACCACTGATGCAGATAGCCTGGCACCACACCTCGATGCCTCAAGCCATCTGGCCACACAGCCAGCTGGCCTCAGCCCACCTGGATGGGTGGTCAAAAGCCACCTATGGTTGCTTAGCAGGTGCCCCCACCCTCTGCTATCTAGCTTCACCCCAAGGGGAGGCCTGGGGAGAGGGGCTGGTGCCAGTCCACCACCCACACTGCTGGTCAGCAGAGGCCCATGGCCCACCCCTGATCCCAGGAGGGCCCTCCTCGGAGGATGCCAGAAACCACTTACTTCGGTGGAGAAAATGGGCAGCGGCCTGACCTGCCCCAGCGTCCCCTGAAAGCTCCGGATGAATCTGTGATGAGCTTTCTCAGTCACCCTGCTTCTCATTCAAGTGGCTGATCAGAAAACAGTGTCCTAAAGCCTGCAGTGTCCTTGAGTCCCGTGAGACTGGAAGACAAGCCAGAGTGGCTGCAAGGGAGTCCAGCTCAGCCAGGTTTCTTCTCACTGTCCCCCGTGGACCGCTGCCCACAGGCCTGAGGTAGAGTTCCCTGTCTTCTTGGCTCTGAGTTGGCACAAGGATTGCCTGGCCTGCTTCTGCCCTGGCAGCATCCCCAACCTACCTTCTGTCACATCTGGCCCCAGAGCCCTGATCGGTGCTGGGACAGGACACTGTTCTGTGCATCAGAGTCACCGTCTTCCTGTGTCCCAAGGCCAGCTTGCCCGGCCCTCCAGACTGGCCTGACTCAGGGCATGTTTTCCCTCTGGGTCCTCCCACTCTTGGACGCTTCTTGGTGACATTCCTTTGCTGGACATGCCACGTGCTGGTCCTATCCCTTGGAAGTTGGTTGCTCATCTGCTGAATGGTGTGTTCAGAAGGAAACGTGTCCTCCAGAGGGGACAGACGTGCCTGGCAGGCACACGCACAGGAAGACCTTGCAGTTACTTTAGGCTCCAGATCTGGTCTTTTTGCCACCTCAGTGTTGGGCCTTAACTTCTTCACACAGCGAGATCTGGGGATCACTCACAGGCACCTGCTCTCAGACTGTTCCAGGAGGCCATGGCTGCCCAGCCCCTCTTCTGGGTTTGGCTGCAGTCTCGAGCCTTGCCTCATGTCTGTGTGCAGGGTATAGGCCTTGCCACCTCCCACCTCATCAGACTGGCTCGACCACATTTGGGGTCCCAAGCCCCCATCTGCTCAAAACTCACAGTGCTCTGAATGGCCCCACCATGTTGGGGTTGGAGAAAAGAACACGCGGTCAGAGTACAGAGGTCCTCTCGGAAGTCCCTTGGGGCCCTTTGTAGGCCTGCGCTTCTGCATGCTCCTGGCTGGCGATTCACGTCTTTCAGTGAGAGCTGGACTGCAAGTTGAAGCTGAGGAAGTAAGGTGGAACCTGCAGAACACTTGGCCATTCCGCCCTGGGCACTGGTCTGGAATTGGCCTCCCACTCTGGTACCAGGCAGCTCTGCTCTCTGCTCTGCTGTCCCAGACCCTTCATGGGAAGACCTGTCCCCACTCCAAATCTCCCCAAGATCTGCCACCCTAAGCCTGGGCTCGAGCACCTTCTAGAAGCCACAGTGGGCAGGCCTGGCCCCCCACCCCACTGGGCCTGCAGCTGGTGGCCTTTGCTGATGACAACAGGAGCCTCGCCTTTGTGCCCCCACCCCCCACCTGGCCAGCAAGTGAGGGCCTGAAGCTTACCTGTGCAGACCAGAGGCACAGAGAATGGGCAGACCCTGATGCTGCAGGTGGAGTCACAGTGGCCTTTGTCCCGGATGCTACAGCCCAGATGTGGCCAGCCGTGAAGCTGCAAGACGTGCAGACCGCGTTCTGGAGGGTGAAGGCTGCATGGACCTGCCGGTCTGTCTACTCTGCATCGCATCCTTTCCGAAACTCACAGTCGATGTTTCAGATTTTAGAAAACACAGGGTCCTCGGAAAACATGGGGTGATGCTCCTGCCCACGTGGGTCTTCTGGGGCCCGCTGGATGGAGTGCCTGCTGCTGGCCCACCAGGCTCGAGGTGACCCCTCTCCAGGTAACAGCTCCAGCGCCGAGCCTGCTTTCCCTGGAGTACAGTCCTGTGCTCGAGCCCCCGTGTCCACGCACCATCTGTGCTGTCCTTCGTGGAGCTGCCTGATGTCCCCACCTGCTGCCCTGCACTGTCCCCCTGGGTGGCCTCCCGAGCCCAGCAGTGCAGGGGGAGAGGCTCCATGAGGCCAGGGCCAGTGCCGCCCCCGTCTGTGCTCATCTCGTTCCATTTCCACTTCTTGTCTCTCGAGTCCTATTTGTGCATCAGCTGTGGCAGGGGAGGCTGTGGCTTTCCCGGGAGGAGGTGGTGCTGTCTTCCGCAGGGAAATTGCCCTCCAGTCAGCCCTCTGCAGAGGCCACGGTGTTCACCCCAGCCTGCGCGTGCGCCCTGTCTGTCGTGTCTGCGTGTCCTTGGCGTGCCTGGATGCCCTGCATGCATGGGCTGGCTCGAACTGTCTGCTGAGCCATGTCCTGTTTCGTGAGAGGCCATCAGCTCCTCTATCCTTAGGGCTGAGCCTGGTGGGGGGTTCACCAAACTGACGTGGACCCTCTCCAGGGCTGCCCAACTCCTGAGAAGGAAATGGTCCCCTCCCCACAGGGGACATCCACCCTGAGCTGGGAGGGGCACAGCTGGACCCCACCATCCCCAGTTCCAAGTGAGGGTGCCCTGCCTGCCCAGAGCATGTGGGGTGAGCAGATGGCAGCCACACTGGGGCCAGCGGGCCTTGCAGACAGCACCTGGCTCAGACCCGGTCCTGCCCCTCATCTCCTGCTCTAGGCTGGGCTGTTGGGAGTCCCACACTGAGTGTCCCAGGACAGCCCTCATGGTACAGCCTGTCTGGGGTACCTGTCCCGACCAGAAACTGCTCTTATCTTCTCAGGAACCCCTTCGCCAATGTGCAGCTGAAGCCAACAGTGACCAACGACAGGTCGGCCCCACTCCTCAGCTGATGGCCACATCTACAGCGCCACCCTCTGGGCCCACCTACATAACTGACGCTGTCACCACCTGTGTGTTCCTGGTTAGAGGACGAACATCCGGCCCCCACTTCCTGGTATCACCCTCTGCACATCAGCCTGCCCTGGGCTGGATCCCAGCTGCCCCGAGGAATCTATCCAAGAACCCGAGGCCCACTGGCTGTGCCACCCTGGCAGCGAGGCAGCTCCCTGAGGTCAGAGGCCCCTGAAGCCTTGGGCACAGGAGGACACTCCCATCATCCAGTGGCTAGAAAGGAGCTCACTCCCACACTCCCATGTGTCTGGTCAATAAACGGCCTCTGTGCAAAGCATGATCTGTGGCCTGAGGGGTGGGGGCGCCTGAACCCTCATTTGAAGAGTAATTTATCCTGCTGTGCCAAGGCCTGGGCCCACCCCTTGCTCTGGGGCTCCTGCATGCTCCCACCGTGGCAGACACCTTGTCACCATAGCAGTGGCCAGGGTCGCTGGCCGTGTACATGCTGGCTGGTAGGGATCCAGCTCCTGGCCTCTACCCCTGGCTCTTGGGTGCCCCCCTCAGGCTGCTTTCTGCAGGGGCTGGGCCGCTGCTCAAATACAAGACTTTAAAATTTGTATTGCCAAGTCTGCTTTGTGCTCTTTGGATGCAGTACCATGTGGTGACTTGTGTTGGTGACAGTGGTCCTTGTCTGGAGAGAAGTCCAGCCCTCACAGACCCTTCCCAGGAGGGCTCTGGAGCCCCTGAGCCACGGGCCCACACCCTGCTCAAAAGGCTGAGGGTATGGAGCTCTGGTGGGGACACAGAGCCAGGACAGCAGGGAGCACAGATTACCTGATTCCTCCAGTCTCCACCCAGCGCTAGGCTGGGCAAGTGCTGGCCGGGGAAGGGCAGGAGCTGCTTGTGGGGTATAGGCTTATCCACCCTCTGGGCAGGGCCGGCTTCTGGAGCAGGAAGAGGGGGTCTCAAGTGTCTCCCTGTGCGGGCACAGCGGTGCCAGATCACCAGGGTGAGGTGACCAGGATGGGAGAAGAGCCAGCCTCCCTCCTGTCCTCAGGCAGAGCTGGCAACTGGGCCCCACCCCAGCCTTGAACCCCCAACACAGGGGCTTTATACAGACCCCAAAAGAAAACATGCTGAGCACAAGAACTTTTTTTGTAGCTTGGTTTCTCTTAAAAAACAAAAACAAAACAAAAATCATTGCACCAGCGTCCTAAGCCTCAAACTAACAAAAAAACAAACCAAAACCAAGTACCCCCCCCACCCCCAGAGCAACAATAAACTTTACATCTCTTTGGCAACAATAACTTAGATTCACCCCATTTCTATTCATTCCAGCAGTAGCTGTTACAAAAATAGTCCCTGTGCTGCCCAGTCCCACCCTTCGTCCCCCGCATAGGCAGGAGCCCTGACGCTGCCTGTGGGGTACAGCCCCCACTCTCCTCTGGTGCCAGGCACGGGACAGGGCACTGCCCTGCTAGGGACACCTCGAGAACAGGGCCGGAGGGCTGGGCACAGCTTGGAAGCCCTCTGGGTGTCTGCAGATGCCAGGCACTTCAGAACCCAGGCAGGAGCTGCCAGACACTGTGCAGAGGGGCTTCCGGGGGAGGCAGTGAAGGGGAATCAGCCATAGACAGGTGAGGGCATGGGGACCCTGGCCCAGGGGCCCCTCTTGGCCCTGCACAAACCCGGACCCAGGAGAGGCTGAGGGGCACGTCTGATGGCCACCTGAGGGCCTGTGCCTCACGCAGCCAAGGGTGTGAGTGTCCTGTGAACACATGGAGGGACCCGGCCAGGCATGGCATGCAGGCCCATGGCCTGGGGCAGGTCTCCCGGCCTGAGGCCGAGCAGTCCAAAGGCAGCAGCCAGAGTGGAAAGGCGGCTGCAGGGTCGGGATGGGCCAGGCCCAGAGGTGTAGGATAATAGGGCCCCTTTTAAGAGTTTGTGTATACAGACACCCACAGTCCTCAGGCCAGGCCATCCGGGGTAGCTGGCAGTGAACCCTAGTGTCCAGGACACAGTCTGCCCCCACGGTGACAGTGTGCACAGTATATTGTCCAGGGCTGGTGAGGGACCTCCTGCCCACCTGCTGCTCCAGGATGCCATGTGGGGCGCCATGACCCCGGATCTGCTGCCACCAGGACTACAGTCGCTACTCATTCCTGGTCACTGTTCTTGCTGCCCGGGACAGGGCAGCAGGGGCTCCGGTGACGCTAGCCTCCAAAGGATGGAGCCGCCTGGGCCTCAAGCCTCAGTGTACTCGCCTCCAGCGCTTGCTGCAGGGCCTAGCAAAGAGAAGGTACGACGTGAGCCTATGGGCCCCCATTTCTCCTTCCCACAGGGCCCACGGTCACCGGTGGGCCTACCCCCATCGCCTGTCTAGCAGTGTCTCCCTGGGAAATGATGTTTCTCTTTCCACTGCTTCCGCCTGACCGGGCCCTTTTACAGATGGGGAAACTGAGGCCTGGAGAGCAAGGAGCTGGCCAGGGTCACCCATGTACTTCCTGGTAACTGGCTCATCCGAGCCAGGGTGAGGATGACAGGCCCGCCCGTTCCGGGTGCAGGTACAAGCCAAGGGCAGGTAGAGGACTAGGTCTGCCTCGGGTGGGGTGAGGGGCAGGCAGGCTTCCTGGAGGAAGTGGACTCTGAGGGCCACCTAGCAGGATTCTGAGGAATTTGAGGCGTTGTGCGCGGGGTGTAGGGAGAGCTGACGCCCGGCAGAAGCCCAGGCTGTGGACTGGAACACAGCTGGCGGTGGGGGAGTGCAGCCCCTCTTCCGAGCAATGCCCACCGGAGCACCAAGGGTCTTGGCTACAGGCCCTGTGCCCTGGACAGGCAGCCTGCGCGGCTTCGGGGACACGCACCGGCCCAGATGAGCCCTGGGGGGGAGAACCCACCAGGCTCCGGAGGCGGGGGTTCCCAGGCCGAGGCCGCAGCGGGTGGGGGGGGGGGGACAGACAGCGTGAGGCAAGGACCGTGGGCGGCCCAGGGGCCTGGACCCGGGCCGCGGCCACCGGGACAGGGGCAGCCAGGCCAGCGCAGGCGTGTGGGCCTGGGCAAAGGACCTGCCCCGCCCGCGCGTTTCCCCTGCCGGCCCTCCGCGCCTCACCTCCCACGGACTGGGCGTCTGAGTCCGACACGTGCGTGATGGAGAAGCGGGACGCAGGCGCGGGCGACACGGTGAAGCGCGAGAAGAGCGCGGTTGGGGCCGGTGTGGGGGACGCAACACGGGCGGGCGCGGGCGCGGCCGGGCCCAAGGTAGTCGCCAGTGTCCCTTTCGCCGGCGCCCGAGGGAGAGGGAAGCCGTCGTCCCACGCGAACCCACCGCCTGCAAATGGGCGGGGCTGCCTCGTCACTCGTCTGCGGAGGCCCCGCCCCGACGCCGCCCAAGGGTACCCAACGCCACAGCCCCGCCCTGACCTCACGCCGCCCCACTCACAGCCCTTTCTCCGACGTTGCCTTCCTCACCCTCTTCCGTCTCTTCCGCGGAGCCGTTGGGCGAGCGGTCACCCCGCCTTGGCCGGCTGGGGGCGCTGGGCGAGCCGGGGCTGCCGGGCGAGTACTCGGGCGGCGCCTCCTTCGCTCCGGCAAAGGGCTCCCCGAGCTCCCGGGTGGGGCTCTCCTGCAGGGGTCAGCACACCTTGCTCGGCCACCCACACCGCAGCCCCTCCACACCCGCAGTCCATGCGCCTGCGCATGCACCAAGCCCACGCCCGCGGGAGCGGCCCGCCCACCTGGTCGAAGAGGTAGACGGTGACGTCGTCAAAGAAGGACACGGCCTTCTTCTTCCGGTCCAGGTCCTCGCAGAGGGCCTCGGACAGCAGACTGGGCAACTTGAGCAGGCTGCGCAGGTTGCGCGCGCTCTGGCTCTCGGCCACCACCACAGGCACCGCGGGCGACTCCTCTTCGCTGTCCTCGCTGGGTTCCTGGATGCTGTAGCAGCGGAGCTCCTCGTCGGACTCGTCGCTGTCCTCACTGTCCTCCTCTTCCTCCTCGGGCCGGCCCTCTAAGGGCCCAGGACGCCCGGGCAGAGCCAAGCAGAGTGGGGCTCTGGGGGTTCCTAGATCCCCTGGCCTCCCTGAAAACAGTCCTGGGGTCCCCTCGAGCTCCGTGCCATCACCTTCTGGGCTCCGCGGGACAGGGGTCAGCAGGAAGAACTTGGAGGAGCCCAGGCTCCGCTCAGGCTGGCCCTCAGCTGAGCCCAGGGATGCAGGAGGCTCTGGCCGGGGGCTGGGGGCACAGGCGCTTGGCTCCGGGAGAGGCTCCTGGGGCCCCTGCAGTGGTGGTAGCACCTCCCTGTGACCAGCGTTAGGTGCCTCCCCCAGCACCCCAAGAACGGGAGAGGTCTGCGCCGACTGCCACCCAGGGCTCTGCCCCGAGACTTGGTCGGGGCTGCTCTTCTCAGGGCCCACCGCAGGCTCAGACTCGGCGTCCAGGTCTGAGAAGTAGGCGGAGTCTCGGTAGGGGTTCTTCTCCCTGAGGCCCCCCAGGGAGGCTGAGAGCTGGGTCTCTGGCCCTGGGCTATCCTCCTCTGAGGCCAGCTCCCTGGGCTCACTGGCCTCATGGGCCTCCTTGAGCACAAACTCAGGGGACTCATTGTTCTCCGTGTCATAGCCACTGTCCAGTGCACGGGGTTGCCCGCCAGGGGGCCCAGCAGTGGATGGGCTGGAGACTTCACAGCCACCATCACTGGCTGAGGATGGGATGTCCAAGGAGTCCAGGGAATCAGGCGTTCCCCCCTGCTTTTGCAGAGAGCGCAAGGCTGGTACTACGTCGGGCTTCTCAGCCTGAGGGCCATCACTGGACACGTCAGTGAAGACGCCCGAAGTGATCTCCGTTGTGTCCTCATCCTCACTGCTGGGTTCCTCCACCTCAGGGGAGCTGCTGCTGCTGCTGAGGGTGGGCACCAGCTCCGAGACTGTCACCTGGCTGCCAGCAGCGGATGTGGGAGAGGCCGGAAGGGTGTCAGGGGCGCTGGCCTCCTCTGAGGGAAGAGATGCTCCCTCGTGGGACGGGGAGGGGACAGAGGGAAGGGACAGTTGGGGTCCAGCAGAGCCCTCGGCTTCCTGGGCAAGCCTGGGTTCTGCTTGGGGGTTGTCACCCCCACTTACGGCTGCCCCTGTCCAGGGGGGCATGACCTGGCAGGGAGCGGGTGCCAGGCCCTGGGCAGAGCCCAGACCGGGAAGGCTGAGGCAGTGGCCTGGCTCCGGCCCGAGGGAGACTGACTGTGGCCCAAGCAGAGGCTCTCTGGGGCCCTCCTGGGCCAGGGGGTGGCCCAAGTCCGGGGAGACCCGTGGGGTCTGCGCTGGGCTGGGGCAGTCGTCCATATAGCTGTCTGTGTAGCTGCCCACGTAGCCGAGGCCCCAGGACTCAGGATCGCGGCTGGCACTGTTGTTGTTGGCTGACATGTTGGAGCTCCAGTGGGCACGCTGGGCAGCCCTCTGTGCCTCGGCCTCCCCGACCTGCTCAGCCCGGGTCGGCAGAGCCCCTGAGCAGGAAGAAGGGGACACGCCCAGTGGGTCCTCAAAAAAGGGGCAGAAGGTGGCCTCTCCCCAGCCTATGTCCTCCGCGCCGGGAGAGGGCGAGCGGGAGGGGCAGGGTGAGTCCTGGGCGCGGCGGCCCCAGGGGCCATCGGCGAGTACCGCGTGGCCCAACAGGGGCTCCATGGCCAGCGAGGCAGTGGAGTCGTCATCTTGGTCGGCGGCAGCACGGGGACTGGGGGCGCAATCTGCGCAGTCGGGGTCGTGGCCGGCGGCCGGTGCAGCCTCTTCCAGGCGGATGAAGTATTCGCTGCCGAGTGAGGGGCTGTGCGCGCTGAGTACGGGGACCACGCCCAGCGGCGCGCCGTTGGGGGCGCACAGCTCCTGCAGGCGCGCGCTGCCCGGGCTGGGGGGTAAGGGCTCCGCGCCGACGCCCGCCTCCCACTTGTACTCGAAGTTGAGGCCTCGGCTCGTCTCAGTCACTGTCAGCACATCGTCCCCGTCGCCATGGAAGCCGTCGCCCGTGAACTGCTCCAGCAGCGGGAAGGACGAGGCGGCAGCCAGGTCGGCCCCAGCACCCACCGACGGACCTGCTGCGCCCTGCCCAGACCCCAAGCCGCCCCTGCCTGGCCGCAGCGAGCGCCAGCGTCGCTCGAACTCCTCCTCCACCTCGGTGGCGCCCTTGGCGCACAGATAGGACAGCAGCAGGTGTACCTCTTCTGCCGTGGGCCGCTGCTCCGGCTGCAGCCAGCAGAACTGCATCACTTCGTACCTGCCAGGGGGTTCCCATGGGTGGCCCAGAACCCCAGGAGAGTGGCGCACCGCCCTCCACGCAGGAGCTGGCCCCCCTGCACCCCAGGTGCCTCCAGGGCTGCTGGGGGAATCTCTCCCTTCCTCAACTCCCTCAGCATCCTAAGCCCCAAGGAGTCTGGGACCAGAGGTGAGGGAAGGCGACACTTTGCCTGAGGTCCCCTTCCCTGACTGTAGGGCCAGGAAAAGGATGGGACAGCTGCAGGCTCAGGTGGTCATCTTAGGCCACCTGTCCCTGGAGACTTGGAGCACCCTACTGTCTCGGACTTCCTGTCCCCAAGTGGGGGGATCCTTACCAGCGATCAGACAAGCTCAGCTGTAGCTGGGGCTTGGGCAGCTTGAGCTGCTGCTCCCGGACAGTGTAGGCCAGCACCTGTCGGTCTGAATGTTGAGGGTAGGGCTGTGCACCCAGCTCGAAGAGTTCCCAGATGGTCACGCCCAGGGACCTGCAGGGGTGACTGAGGTGAGACAGGGCTGGCAGGACCACACAGGACACCACTATGCCAGCCACTCTGGGCCCAGAGCTCAGTACACACCAGCTGCCCTCCCCAAGGACAGACCTTCCACCCCAGCCAGGCCAGAGCCCAACACTCTAGTGCCTGGCAAGTAAAAGGCAGTCTGGCCTTGCACAAAGTCACATCCGTTGGTCTGTCAACTCACTCATTCACTGGTCACACTGGAGACACTATGCCAGGTGTGGGAGCTGCCAGGGGAGCTGAAAGGAAGCCTGTAACCAGACAGGGCCTGGTCCACCAGGCTGAAGGAGGAGCAGACCTGGAGCCCCAGGCAGTGTGGGTAGGGCTGGGGTGACGGGCAGGGCCGGGAGAAAGCAGCTGGGAGTGGCTTCCCCTGGCTCCTTGTGCCCTGGGAGGTAGGACAGAGCTGGACCCTGGTGGCCAGAGTCCTGTGATGGGGACCCAGCCAGGGTTCTGAGGGTGGGCATGCCAAGAAGGGGCTCCTCAATGGGGTCACAAGCAGGGGCTGGAGTGTCCGTGATGGGGCATAGTTAAAGGACTTCAAGGAGGGCCCCACATGCTCAGGAGGAGCTGTTCCATGTGTACAGGCTGAGGGGCGCAAGGCATGGGATGGAGCAGTTAGAAGCAGAGGCTGCTCCTGGAACGAACACCCCCATGGCAGGAGATACCCTGACACCTGTGAGAGCCCCCAAGGCAGCTCAGCCCCATCCCTCTGAAGGCTGCAGAGCCAGGTCAGAAAGAATGGCTGCTCTGTGCACAGCTTGGTGCTGGATGGAGGGTGGTGGCTGCCAGGCTACAATTCTGGGAGATCTCAGCACTTCCTGCCTGTTTATTCCTCCCTCTTCCCAGTTCCCTCAAGAGCGGCTGATAGTCCCCAGACTCTCCACAGGCACAGATGCCAGCCAAGGCCCCACATCCCATCAGGACGTACACCCCCTGCTGCTGCTCACTGAGGGCTTTGGAATCTCACTGTTGCTTCAGCCCTGACACTGCTGGGTGTTGGCCCACTAGGTCCTGGGAGGTACAGTACCCTGACCATCTAGGCAGTCCCTCCACCAGCTCAGGGTCCCCGGCTGCTGTGGGGTGCACCAAGAGCCCACACCTCCTGAGACCAAAGTGTGGCAAACATAAGCACATTAGGCCACACTTGGCCTTTCCCTGAATGGGGTGGGTGGGGCAGCAGCCTGGTGACCCCCTGGGCCTGCAAGCCAGAGGCTCACGTGCCCACCGCAAGGTTGCTCACCACACGTTGCTGCTCTTGGTCTGGTCCACCACCAGCAGGTTCCCATGTACCTCGTCTACCAGCTCGGGTGCAATCCAGCGCAAGGGCACCCACAGCTGGTCGGCAGTCACGAAGTAGTCTTCCTGCGGGCACACGGGGCAGGGTCGGACCCCACGTGTAGCAGCCCCGCCCCACAGGCCTGAACCCCTGACGTACCCTATATTTGCAGTGGGACAGGCCGTAGTCGCCGACCTTCACTGTCAGGTCGGCCGTCAGCAGGCAGTTCCGCAGGGCCAGGTCGCTGCAGGGCGGGAGGCAGGGTCAGCTGCGGCTTTGGCCCACAGCAGAATGGCTCATTCCCCAGGGCCATCCTGGGCTCAGCCCAGCAGGCAGACAGGAAGCGGTGTCTGAGAGGCTGCCCTACACTGGGCACCTTGGAAGGTCCGCGTGGACAGGGCCTCAAACGTGACAGGGCAGTGGCCCAGAGAGGTCCACACCCATGGGTCCCCGGTGAAGACACTGCCCAGCTCCCACCCTTCTGGGACACCAGTCTGCTGACCTACCCAGGGAGCTCTCAGGCCACGGACAGCCCCACCCTGTGTGTCTGCAGTCTTCAGGACCATCTCCCCCCTCCCAGCACCCTGAGAGGCGGCAGTCAATGGGAAACAGGCCTGGAGTGTACCAGGAGTTCCTGTCCACAGCTAGAGCCCATGGTCCAGGACCTGGCCCTGCCCTGCCAGGTAGAGGTGGAGCTGAGGCCCCAGGGCAGGGCAGGCATGGAGCATCCCCAGACAGGGCATGCAGGTTGCCCCAGGACTACTTCCAACTGGCAGCCAGCCCTGGAGCTGGCTCTAACCCTTCCACCTGGCCAGTGGCCATGTGGGTGTTGGGGGCACAGGGCACTATAGGATGTGCCACCTGCCTTGTTGCTGTTGCGCTGAGGGACAGAGTGCCCAGCCCCTCTCTGCTCCCTGAGGCCTGTGTCTGCCTCCCAGGGGACAGCTGTGGGCCAGTGCCCCAGCCACAGACATGTGCCTGAGCCTGTGGCAACTGGGGCAGGGGCGCGGCAGGCAGGTCAGGAGGCTGGCAGCTGCCCTCTTCAACAAAATCACTGATGCTGGAGTTGCCTGTGTCATCACTCAGCACCAGGATATTGTTGGGGAGGACGGCCCGTGCGGCATCCAGGGCTGGCGGGGGCCATTCGTCCATCACTACTTCTTCCAGCACGTCCCCCAGGCTCCCCGGGGCTGGGTGTCCTGGCCCCCCTCTCCCTCCCCGACAGGGCTGGCTGACCCCTCTGCACCCCGAGAGAGACAAGAGGGACTGGTGAGGGGCCGCCAGGTGCCCTCACTAGTGAAATTCCTTATAGCTTGGCTGCTCATGCCATGTAGATTAACCCGGTTCATCCTCACCAGGCCCCACGGAGCGGCAGTACCACCCGCCCTTTGTGCAGGTGAGAAGCCCCCACCGTGGGTTGTAGAGAGGACCTGCCCGGGTGGCCTTGCCTGCCCCTCACCTGTGCACGTAGTTGTTTCGGTGCAGGTGGAGGACACCACGGGCCACCTCGCAGGCCATTCGCTGTAAGGTCAGGGGGTCAGGCGCCATAGACTCTGTCACCCGGCAGCTCCGCAGGTAACCTTTGAGGTCCCCCTGCCGAGAGGGAGCGAATGTTACCTCCCAGTTGAGGAGCAGCCGCTGCCTGCTGCCCTGCCCTAGGGGCCCCCACCTTGCCTTATCTTGCGCCCGCCCATGCTGGAGCTGAGTGGGGCTGAGAAGGTGCCTGGCTAACAGCCATGGGCAGCAGCTACCTGCAGAGCTGGGGAGGGGCTGTGTGTCGAAGGACAGGCCAGCCAGGTGACCCACAGGCAAGAGGCCCTTCCCAGAATGCCTTCTCTAACGGGACCTGCTAGCCGGCCATTCAGGGTCTGTAGCACCACGTCCCCGTGAACAGACAAGAACATGAGGCCAAGTGGATCTGCTTCCTGCCAAGTGATCCAGGGTGGAACCCAGAGCTGGTGACCAGAGGATGGGCTGGCAGGTGCAACCGCTGACAACCCAGCCGGGAGTCCAGACATCAGACTGCGGGAGCCTGTGTCCTGCAGGGTGGCCTCAGTCCGTGCCGGTGCTGGAGCTGTGTGTGCACACAGGGGGTCTGGGCGGCAGGCTGCAGGCACAGGATTCCAAGACTGCCTTGGGGAAGTGGTCAGACCCTGGCCATGACTGGAACAGGCTGTGCAGCTGCCTGGGATGCCCTGGGCTAAACCACCACCCAGGCTGCTCGGGGAGCCAGGCAGTGGACAACCCTGGGGGCACAGGGTTGTCCCAGTGCCAGGCTGGTGCTACCCAAGCCCTCAGAGCCATTGCTGGTGTTGCTGGGTCCCCGTTCTGCACAGACCTCCTCTGGAAGGTTCAGGGCAGGGTCTCCTGGGACTCCACCTTAGGGGAGATGAGGCGCCCGGGTGGCACTATTTATGGGCAAGGCATGGAGGACCCCAACTCAGCAGAGGCCCCCACCATCCCATCTGGGCGGCAGCTCAGAGCCAAGGGCCTAGAGAGGGAGGGACAGCCCTTCCTCCCCGGCAGCCACTCACCAGCGGGCAGAACTCCATCACGAGCAGATAGGGCGTCACCTCAGCACACTGCGCCAGGCACTGGAGCAGACTGCTGTGCTGCAGGGTTCTGCAAGAGCCACAGATTGTCCTGACTTGCAAGGTGGGGCAGGTGGCACATAGCCTGCCTTTGTCACAGGGATCCTGGCCGATTGGCCCCTGCCCCTCCAGCTGCCTGTCCCCAGGTGCCACCCACCTGTAGGGCTGTGCCTCCTCCAAGAACTGCATCTGCTCTTGCACACTGGCGCTCACCTTCAGCTCCTTCACCACCACCTGGGTGCTGCTGACACCCGAGTGCACCTCTCCCAGGAACACCTGCAGGGACAGGCGTCACCCAGGCCACCCTCCGCCTCGTTCCTCTTCCTCCCCATCCCCCAGGATAAACTACCTCCTTCCTGTGCCTGGGTTTACCACTTGCAGAATGGGTTCTAGGCTGGAATACTGTGAGCATGGGTCTACCCCAAGGCTATCCTGGCTCTCTCTGCGTGTCCACAGTGAGGAAGAGGGTTCCGGAGGAAGCCAGGACCACTATGCTGCTCCCCCCGCCTCACATAAGGCTGCTGCCAGAGGAGCAGACTTGTGCCCTGCCACTCCAGCCGCCAGCCACGCACACTCACCTTCCCGAACCAGCCATGCCCGATCTCCTTCAGGTACAGAAGGCTGTGCCGGCCCAGGTCTGTGGACTTGAGGAGCTGCACTGTAACAGGGAAGGGGGCTCAGGACCCGTCAGCCCCTCCCACTCTCCAGACTCCTCCCTGGCTCCTCAGCTGTCCTTGGGAGCTCCCAAGTGCCCTGCACCAGCCAGGGAGGGCAAGCCAGCCCCCGAGGCAGAACCACACTTGGGGGCTGCCATCAGGGGCCAGGCTGCCTTGGGAGCAGGGATGGCCGATGCCCAAGAGAGCTGTGGATCTGCAAGCTGCACCCAGGCATCTCTCTGGGTGGCCTGGGGAAGGGGGTGCTGGAACCACCGGGACAAGCCAGGCTGGAGCCAGCAGGGCTTGGAGCTGGACCTGCCAGATGCGTAACACTGGCCAGGCAGTGTGGCTGGGGCAGGAGGGCCGGTGCCGAGGCCTGGGGATGGCCTCAGAGCAGCCCGCCCCCATCCCCCAGGGGCTGGCATCCCAGCACCGGCACACCAAAGGCTCCTTTGTTGGGGGCTGCTTGGCACAGCCCTGTACGGGACACACTGGGTCTATTCTCCCTGCGGGCCAGGCTGGGTGAGGTCAGCAGGCAGGCAGGGTCAGGGTAGGCTCAGGAGGAAGGGGCTGCGGCTGGCTGTACCCACTCATGCCCCAGTGGATTCCCCAGATTCTGTTCCCACACCAACTGCTCAGAGGGCAGAGGGGGTTGGGACTGAGCCCGGCCGCCAGGAGAGCCCAGGGGTGAGGGGCGGTGTTGGTTTGATGCAGAGTTTAGGGTGGGAGCCCCACTGGGCCTGTTCCTGGGGCTGCTCCTGTGCACCTCAGTCTGTCTTGGCATCCTGTCTCCCACCTGGGGTCTCCAGGACCTCACTTGTCCCCCAGCAGGCCCAGGTCCCATGCTGGTAGGCCTCAGGAAAGCCATGGAGGCAGGAGTGTGTTGTACTACTGTAAGCGTGGGGCAGGGCCCTGTGGGCCTGGACAGCCCTGGGCTGGTGGAGCTGTTCTCTGCCATCTTGAGTTGGGTGACTCCTACTGCTCACATTTCCAATCCTGGACCCCTAGCCTCACCCTAAATCTCGCCCCTCCCTAGAAGCAGGGTGTCCCCTAGAAAACAGACCAGAGCTGCAACAATGGAGTAAATATACCTGTCTTCCCTGGGGTCCCTGTCCCCCTTGTCCCCAGGGACAGCCCTCCAGTGGCTGGGACCAACTGGCTCTCAAGGATCATGGGGTCCCAGGCACACACTTGCTCCTGGCAGATAGGCCCAGGCACAGCCTAGTGCCCCCAGGGTGGTCCACGGCTCCCATCTGCTCCCAGCAGTGTCTACACAGGGCTCGGAGCCCCCCCCACACCATCCAGGACGGCAGACCCTGTGCAGCTGAGGATGCCTGCCCTTTCAGGAGGTGCTGGGGCAGCTACAAGCCTTCAGGCCAGAGGACAAATGTGCTCTGAGGCTGGAGTCCCAGGCCCAGCCTCCTGCCTGGCCAGTGACCTCTCCTCCAAGAGATCTGGGGCTGGAGGGACATGCATGGTGCCCTGGGCCTGCTGGTAGCTGGACGTCATCCGGTTCTGCTCTGCAGGCCCAGACCAGTGCCTTGAGATGGGAAGCATGGTGGTCAGGCCCAACAGGCTAGGCCAACCTGTCTGCTTGTCAACATGGTAACAGGCCCTGGTGCCAACAGAGCCCCCGTTGGATCAGCAGGGCTCCCTGGCCTGACATGCCCTTCCTCAACGTCCTTGGGGGAGCCGACTGGGCAGTAAAGGGGAGTAGCCCATGGCTAGAACTTCCAGGCAGAGGGGCTTGAGAGTTGACTGCCATAGAGGTGGCCTGAGGCCTGCGACCCCGCCCTATCCAGGACAGAACTGAGATTCCGGAGACTTGGCCCTTGAACCATCACCTCTGGCTTCTTGTGGTGGCCGGCATCGTGGGAACGACCCCCGGAGGCCAAAAGGGAGACATGCAGAGGGCAGCCCCAGGCCAAGGGAGCCCCAGGAAGAGGCCGTGCCTGTGTCTGTGTCTGCACCTACCAGGAGGTCCTCCAGCCCAATTCCTGGAGCCAGGCACAGGGCAGCCCCACAAAGGCCCCTCAGTGAGTGGACAGGCCCACCCTGGCAGGCACAATGGTGCCCAGGTCCCTGCGGAGTGGGGGCTCAGGGAGCAGGAATCTGGGGCTAGCACAGAAAGGGAGCCAATCACAGGCCCACAGAGCCCGGCCACGGTCCTGCTCAGTGCCCTCTGTAGTGCAGCCTCTCAGGTGGGGAGGTGGCAGGTGGAAGGGTGTCCCCCAAGCCTGCTGACAGCTGCCCCCAGGTCTAGAGGGGCACGTGCACGCTCAGCCACAGCCCAGCCTAGGGTGCAGCCAGAGGGTCTTGGGCCAGCACCCTGCAAGTGGCCACATGTGTCCCCAGCCCCTCCCGTCCCCATCTCCGGAGCGGAGTCCTGGTGCTTCCCCAGGGCCAGGCCTGCTGACCCCAAGATATGGGGGAGGGGAGGGGAGGCCAGCGCCCCTCCCCCCGGCCCACTCACCTGAGCGGCCCGGCTGCCTAGCCACGGGCAAGGGGACCTCCGTCAGTGGCAGGACGTACACGTCGGGCCCGCTCTGTGCCACCGCCGCCGGGGAGCCCTGCGCCGAGCACTCAGCCGCACACGCATCGCCCTCGGCATTCTCGAACTCCTGCTGGCCAGGGCGTAGCCGTGAGCCCCGCACCGTGAGGCTGGCGTGGGTGTGACCAGGGCCCACGAGGCACCCCGGCACCCCTTCACCCCTTCCCGGCGTGGTCCGGGCAGGGTGCGGGGAGTGCCCACCCCGCGAAACTGCCCCCCACCTCCCCTGCAGAGCCCTGCTCCCAGCCACTCTGTCCCCAGGGACCCAGCTGTCCCAAGAGGGGCCAAGGCCAGAGCTAAGCCAGGACGCTCACCTCAGCTCCCAGGGAACAGCATGAGCCCTGTGTCGCCAGCCTCAGGCTCAGGGACAGGTGGACAGGCTGGGAAGAGCCCCACACTGGGGAGGAGCTGCAGCCAGCTGGCCCTGCCTACCCGAACCAGACCCCAACACGGCTCAGCCACCCCAACCCCCAGGAGCCCCTCGCCCTCGGCCCTGTCTGCGGTCCCACCCTGTCTTGGGACAAGCTCAGGCACAGGGGGCCTCACCCCACCCTGTCCCCAAAGTCATGTGGGAGAAGCAGCTAGGGGCCCCCACCCCTGGTCAGAAGAGGGGCAGCGAGCCCATCCATGTGCACCCCCAGGCAGGGTCCCACCACCTTCCCTGCTGAGTCAGCCCTGGACTTCCACCCCCACCTCCCCCTGGAGCCAGGCTCTTAAGAGCTAGTGCTGGGCACCCTGGGGCAGCTGCTCCTGGCCAGGCTGCAGACTTGCAGTGGGGCTGCCACGCCTGACTGGAGGAGACCTCCACACCAGGTCCAGGGCACACTCCAAAGCCCCGGAACAAGTCCAGGCCTAATTTAAGACAAGCGTGCACACAAACACACACACACATACACACACACATCCAGTAACAGCCTCTCCTGGCCACATGCTGTACTCCCCCACAAGCCCTGCTGCCCAGTGGGGAAACTAACTGAGGCTCTGCGGAGTCAAGGGGCATCCTGAGGAGCTGGAACCTTGCCACCCACTCCAGGGCCCTTGCTCCTGTAGACAGGCATTGGGCTGGGAGGGAGGAGCCCTGACATCCCTGCCACCTGGGGGCTCTCCTTTCTCTGGATTTCAATTTTCTGGCAGTGAAGAGGGAGTTTTAGGCTCCTTGTTGGTTTTCCTGTGGGCTGATCGGGGTCTGAACCCAGAGGCAGAGCCAATCAGGGGACAGGAGTGAGAAAATAGGGCTCGTTCCCGTGGCAACTCCCCTTCCCTGGGGCCCAGGAGACCCCTCTAATCCCAGCTGCGGCCCGGCCCCTCCCTCCTGGGCTCTGCAGATGCCCCCTCCCCGTGCAGGGTCAGCCCTGGGTCTAGCCCATTACCTGCCCGTTCGGCCTGGGTGCCCACCAGGTGCTGCCAGCACAGCGGGCGATCAGGTAGCACAGTGTTAGCATCGGGCCTGCCCAGCCCCTTCCCCGCACAGCTCCAGGAGGCCGAGCCCCAGAGGGAGCCTCCCACCAAGGTCTGCTGGCACTGGGATGTTCTGGGCACCGTGCTCCCAGGGGGTGAGGAAGGCGCTGGCAGGGGCTGCTGCCTGTGTGAAGGACCTTGTTCTCGACGGGAGGAGGGGCTGCTGCACAATGGCGGAGTCCCAGCCTGCATCCCACCCCGCCCCGCCCCACAGCTGAGTCTGGCTCCGATCCTCCAGAGAAACTGTGTGCCTGAGGGTGGGGCGCAGTGGGCACCAAGGCTACCCAGGCACGCAGCTCCCCTTGAAAGCCATCGATGGCAGCTCTGAAAAAGGTAGGGGGCGAGCAGGCACCAGCTTGAAGGCCTCTCTGGGACGTGACAGCAGGCAGGGTGGCAAGAGAACGGGGCTCTAACATGGGGGCCACGGTGGCTGGGCCGCGGGTCACTCGGTAGGGAGCTGGCCCCAAAATACAGACGGGGTGCTGTGCTCAGGCACAAGAGGCTCCTCCCATCCTGACTCTCCAAGGGCAGGAATCTGACCTCCAGCCCAGTAGGGCTGCCCTGCGTAGGCGCATGAATGGCTGGAGGGCTCTGGCCAGCCCGAAATGTGCTGATGGGCACGACTGCGGCCCACGCGGCCCTGGGTGGGGCCTCCTTGTCCAGTGCAGCTCCATGCTTCTCCTGCTGACCCTCCCTGCCCAGAGCCACACTGGATGGTGGGGGACGGTCTACCCTCAGCCACCATCTTCAGAGGGGGGCCCACCTCAAGTCCAGCCTCCCCAGGACCGGTAACGATGCCCTGGCATCTAGAACCTGTAGACAATGCTCATGGGAAGAAGACACCCAAACCGGGGAACTCCAAATGACAGTTTGGTGCCTGGGACCCTGTCTGCACGACTTGTTCCCTCTGATTCAATGAGCAAGGGCCTGAGGACTTCTCAGGGCGGCCCCTCCACTCGGAATCAGAGCCCTCGGGTTGCAGGGGCCCCCCTCCCGCCCTGGCCCTCAAGGCCACCCTCGGCCTCCTGGCCCTTGATGGGCCTGACCCTGACCTGGGACAGAAAGGCATGAGGCCATGCCCTACAGAGGGCACCTGAAGTAGGGAAGACAGTGGGCAGGGGCCCCTGAGAGCCCCAGTGGGCCAGGAGGGAGGAGAGCTCAGGCCAAGCAGATGTGAGGGACCCTAGGGGCCTGGTGCGCAGCCCTGATGGACTCCCAACCCTTACCTTGAACCCGATGCCGCCTTTCTTACAGCACAGGCAGGCCAGCATGAGGACGATGACAGTGAAGAGCCCAGAGAAGGACACGGCCACCACAGCCAGGGAGGACGACCACGAGAGCTCGCTGAGCGGGGCACCGTCTGCTGAGAAGGGAGCATGTGAGGGCAGAGCTGAGCACCCAGCAAGGCCCACCCATCCTTCCCCGGCCCCCACCCCACCCCGGACTCCTGTGTTCTGGGCCCAGTGTCAGCACCAACTCATGCTCAGGGAAGCTGTCCAGGACCCCGCAGACAGAGCCTATGGTCATGTGCTGACCACTGAGGGGCACTCTGACACCAGTGGGGCTCACAGCCTGGCAAAGTGGTCAACCTGGGCCCCGGTCCCAATGCGGGGGCTCAGAGACCTTTCTCTGAGAGATCAGGAGCTCAGGGGTTGTGGGAGGAGCCCTCCATTTCTCTCCTGGACCTTGGGCACCCTCCTCCATTGCTCTGAGGCTAGGAGGGCATCACGGACACTGCCAAGGAGGGGTGATCGTGGAGCTGACTACAGGCCACTGGCCGCATGCTGGGGCCTGGACAGCTGGAGGCCGGGGCCCTGCGTTACAAACCTGTCTTTTCTCCAAAGTGCAGAGAGCTCCCTGGCTCTGAGAAGGTGGCCCTCTGTGTACCAGACAGAAGCTGCTCCAAGTTGTCCCCTGCTCGACCCACCCCCGAGGCCTTTGCTGCTGCTGCTTCTGTCCTAGACACAGCAGGGGCACCCCCTTCTGCAGCACCTGGTTCACGTGAGGTCCCTCATCCCAGTTAGGGAAACAGAGGCCCCCAGTGCCCTCCCAACCCCGACTACTGAGCTAGAGCCTGGCTCCCATTCAGGGGTCCCCTGCAGCAAGGATGCAGGGATTGGGGCTAATGGGGCATCTGGGGGGCTGCCTAGAGGTGGTGGGAGTGCAAGGCCTAGAGGACAGTCTAGAATTCCCACTCACTGCCAAAAGAATTCCTATACAATTCCACACTTGGGGAAGAGAGGGGGTTCAGCAGCTGGAATAGGCAGGCAGGGCTAGGGGACAAGAGGGCAAGGTCACCAGCTCAGCCTGTGCATGGAGACCCACACAGAAGGCAGCCACCCATGGCTGCGTCCCCATCCTGCAGGGCCTTCGCGGGAGAGGTCCAAGGCAGGTGTGTGATGTGGGCTTGCTTGTGTGAACTTCTCTCACAGGTGTAAGAACCACTGTGTCCTCACATCCAAGACACACAGGAGCGCAGGTGCCAGGCACGGACTGGAAGGCAGGTGTGCTGAGCAGCCTGGCCCCTCCACACAGCCTCGAGTGCCCTGAGGCTGCACTGTTGCCATGGTGACCTCTCCCTTCTCCATCTGGTGCCCGAAGCAGCAGGCTCCCCTCCCACCCACCTCTGCTTGTGAGGAACAAACTGCCCACTTGGTGGCCTCAGGGCCTGGGGCTGGTGCTCTGGTCCTCAAGGATCGTAGCAGGTGGGTCACACACCCACCCTTTGGGGCCACTCATGCCTGGTCACAGGCAGGATGCACTGCAGCGACTCCAGCCCTGATCACATAGGGCACGGGGAGGTGGGGTCATTCAGCACCACTGAGGGCAGAGAGGTGCTGAGCAGCGCCCCCACCCCATCCCTGTGGATGGGAGCAGCAGGGAGATGATCCAAAGGGCTGGCGGAGGCAGAAAAAAGAACGGGGTGGCTATGGACCTGAGCTCACATCTGGAGCCCAGCCAGGTGGGACGGTACAAAGCACAACTGGAGGGAGGCGCCCAAGCCCTTGGTCCGGGCTCATCCCACCCCTTCCTCAGGACCCTGAGGCCCGTGGGTCAGGAGACTCGCTCCAGGGCCCCAGCAAGCTGTGCCATGGTGCAACACCAGGTGGAAAAGCCAGGCTCCTTGGTTTCAGGCTGACGAAGCCCTCAGCCACCCAGACACCCTCATCTGAGGCTTCCAAGCCTCGCTGCGCCGGTGGCAGCCGGGCCCCAATGGCCAGAGCCGGGCACAGTGCTTTGGGGCCCCATCTCACCCCCCAAAACAGCACAGCATGTGCCTGCACTTGGGCACAACGCAGCCTTCACGTGCAGGCACCAGACACTGTGCTTGGGCCCATACAGCGAGCGTGTACGTAGGCACACACACCCACACATATGCACACAACATGTGCACACGCGTGAATGTGCACCTGTACAGATCCCCTCCTGTCCCACAAGCCTGCTCTGTAGGTATCATCATCTCCACTGGGCAGGTAAGAACACAGGCTCAGGAGAGTTACGAATGCACCCCAGAAATGCCCTGCTGATGTTTGGGGGCCAGAGCCAGCCCTGTACTCTCTCCTCCATGAGCCACGGTGGGGCCCCACTATCCCCTCGGGATCTACTCACACTGGCGGTCGGGAAGGCCCACCCTCCTTTCGTTCTTGTGACAACCTCAGGCAGGGGTGAGTCCCTGCTTGGTGCAAAGGATACAGTCACCCTCCGGATGCCATGAGGGCCCGGGGACCACCGACCACCCATGCGGATTGACAAAGAAAGAGAAAAGCCCAGGACCATGAGGGGACTGGCACCACCCCAGGTGTGACTCTGGGCGTAGGCTGGCTGCGGGACACCGGTCACCAATAGGGCGGAGCCAGGCCCAGCAGCTCATAAGGGGTCCCCAGTCCTCACAGCTAGGGAAGCCATGTGGCACTCTGGCCCAGGACCAAGGGTATGGAAGGCTGGGTAGAGACGGCAGGGCAGAGAGTTAGGCCATGGATCAAAAGTCAAGCAGGAGCCACCCTGGCTCTGTTGGTGAAGGAAGTGCAGACACGGACGGGGCAGCAGAGAGCCCTGGGCTACTGGACTCCAGTAGGCAGGTGAGGAACCCGGGTTATACTTAACCCCGATACATAAAAGGGGCACCCGGCCTGATGCCATGTCTGTGTTGTCTGTCTACACACACAGACTTCCTACCCCTGTCCACCAGAGGGCGAGGGAGCACAGACAGGAAACCACTTGGTGTTCACAGCCCGACAGTCAGCAGTGCCCGCGGGGTGTAGGGTGTGGGCAGGGTCACAGGAGAGGGTGAGGGGCCTATGAATGCCTATCCTGGTAGGCAGGCCTTGCCCAGCTACACCATTCAGCCCTCTAGGCAATGCTTGAGAGCCAAGGGCTGGGGTGGCCACCCGGCAGTCCCGATGAGCGTCTGAAGGCTTTGTGCTGCCTGTCTGGAAGGTGGCAACCCCACCAGGCCACCTTCCAGTCATCTGCATGTTCAGCTGGGCCAGGCTGAGCCCTTGAGTCCTCAACTCATCCATGCAGCTACGTCCTTCTCTGGTCAGCTCTGCTGATATGCGGGAGGAAGACAGGGGAACCAAGGCCAGAAGGAGGTGGATGGGAGCCTGAGGGGGGAGCGGGCAGAGAGGACAGGGAGGGGCCTGAAGTGGAGCCTGGGCTTCAAACTTCAAGCCTGGCTTTGAATCTGGCCCTGCCCTCATGGGTGTGGCCCCTGCCTGTGGGGCTCCACCCACCCAGGCATAGGTCCACCCTCGAAAGTGAGACCCTGCCCCCCCCCCCAGGAATCCCACCCACAGGTAGGCATGGCCCTACCTTCACCTGTGAAATCCGGGCCATCAGGCAGGAAGCCCCGCCCACATCCAGGTAAGACCCCACCCTCACTGGAGGCCCCACCCACACCCAGAGGCTCCACCCTCACCCATGAAGCTCCGCCCCTGGCTTTCTGAGGGGCCCAGTATCTAGGGTTGTTCAGGGCCTAGAGGCTGCCTGGGCTCCTGCTCTGTCCATAGCCCATCTGAGGTCCAGCCACAGGCTTATCCAGGATGACCCTCACCCCATCAGGTGGCACTCTCTGGCTACTTTATATATGCCATTCAGAGGAGCGGGATCCTCTGGGGACCCTTGACAGCTGAGCAGAGGCTTGGTGTAACCAATTATCTGACTAGTATGGGGACAGGAGCCTGCTTGGGGGATGCAGCCTAGGAACTCCAGTGTAAGGACACCTCTTGGCACAGGACCCTTCCTAGGAGAGACAGCTGGGGCTCCATGTGCCCTGCTCAGCCTCAGCTAAACCTGGTACATGGTTCCGTCACTATGGGCCCCTGGGCCCTGTCCCTAAACACTGCCCTCAAAGCAGGAAGGTCAGGGACCCCAAGACCTGCTGTCCAGCCCCCTCTGAAGACACCCTAGGGAGGGGCAGTGGCTCCTAGGCTTCATGGGGCCAATCCAGTATGGCCACATGTGGCTCTGGGAAAGGCACTGCCAGGGTTGGGGTGGAGAGCCTCTCAACCAGAGCATCCCCCACTTGCCCAGGAGACACCTCTATGGGATCCAGGGGCACTTGGTGCTGGGGTCCTGCCCCGCTCTGCCTGTCTGGGGGTCCCTTGCAGAAGATGGCTGTTGTGTACTGACTTGTAGGTTTTGGGGACTTCTGGCCATTGGGAGGAGTGGCCACCTGCCACCCTCCACAGCATGCCAGGGATAGCTTCAGGTGGGAGATTCTGCCTGGGGCCCATCAGACAAGAAGTCCCCCCCAAACTGAGAGGGAACAGCTAAGTCAGAGGTCAGAGTTTCAGGGCAGCCTGGGCTGGAAGGGGCCAACTCTGCTACCCTTGGCTGTGGGGCCCTGTGGCAATGAGGCTGGATTGGCTCTGGGATCCACCCGTGAGACGGGTGGTGCACACTTCTAGGTGTCTCTGACTAGGTCACGGAGCTATAG